TATATATGACTAACATAGACAAATATAGAATAAAGTTACCATATATTATTGACATTTATTAGCTTGCCACTTGGCTTAACCAAGATATAGATATCATATTGGACAAAAAAGTTGTAATGACCCAACCGGTCATTTTGACTCTTAGAACCCCGTTCCCCTAACTAAAACTTCCTGAATGTGATTTTAATAATTTATGACTTGCGGGGATGGTTGGTTCAGAATTTGGAAGTAATCGGGTTGAAATCGGAATAATTGGTTCCTTAGTTTGGCTTTAAAAGGCCAAGTTTGACTTCGGTCAATATTTTGAGAAAATAACCCCGAAATCGGGATTTGACGGTTTCAATAGGTTCGTATGATGATTTCGGACTTGGGCGTATGTTCGAATCGGGTTTTGGATAACCCGGGAGCGTTTTAGCGCTTAATAGTAAAAATCAACTATTTGAAGGTTTAAAGTTCTTTAAATTTGGTTTGGAATTAGATTTTGGAGTAATCGAGGTCCGTTTGAAATTCTGAGTTTGGGAAAAGCTCTGTATAGTGATTTAAGACTTGGACGCAAAATTTGGTGTCATTCTGCATAGTATAAGTATATTTCGGCGCTTTCGGAGTAAGTTTGAAGAATTTAAAATTTCTAAGTTGAATCAATTTGGTTTGGGGTATGATTCTTAAATTTGATGTTGTTTTACACGTTCCGAGAGTTCGAGCGAGTCTGTTTTATGATTTCAAAATTATTGGTATGTTCGGGCGGGGCCCGGATGCCCCGAGTGTTAACCGGACGAGGCTCGGACCAACTTCGGACTTGGGAGAAAAATGCTGAAGCTTTCTGCTTCTGGTACGTTCGCACCTGCGCTTGTACGGCCGCAGGTGCGACCCTCGCAGATGCGAGCTTCAATCGCAGAAGCAAAACGGGAAGGGGAGGCCTGCCATCGCAGGTGCGGAATTTTGGGCGCACCTGCGAACGCGCAGGTACTAGAAATGTGCACAGATGCGAAGCTTGGCAGGCAAGGGAAAACTCGCACCTGCGAGGCTTTTCCGCAGGTGTGGAAGTCGTAGGTGCGGTACACCTTCCGCTGGTGCGAAACCGCTACTTGGAAGAATGTTTAAAAATTGGGGCTCAGGCATTTTGAGCCCATTTTTCCTCCATTTTCGGGCGATTTCAGAGCTTTTGAGAGGGAAGTTCAACTAGCAACTTGAAGGTAAGTATAACGATACGACCGGTCATTTTGAGAATTCAAGTCCCGTTCGGCGGCATAAAGCCCTGAGCGGCTTCGTATTATGTGTATTGACTTGCATGCGTGGTTGAATTCAGTTACCGGATGATTCGGAGTGATTTAGGACACTTAGTCCCTAAAACGGAAGCTTAAGTCTTAGGATTTTGACCGTAGTCGGAACTGTGTGAAGACGACTCCGGAATGGAATTTCGTCGATTCCGTTAGCTCTATTGGGTGATTTTGGACTTAGGGGCATGTCCGGATTGTGTTTTGGAGGTCTGTAGCTCATTTAGGCTTGAAATGGCGAAAGTTTGGTTTGATAGGTTTCGACACGTGTTTTAGAAGTTGGAAGAATCGAAAATTTATAAGTTCGATTCTTGGTGCGATTTGTATTTTCGGCATTGTTTGATGTGATTTGAGACCTCGAGCGAGTTTGTGTTAGGTTTTGGAACTTGGTTGTATGCTTGGACGGGATCCCGGGGGCTCGAGGTGTATTTCGAACGAGTTTCGGATGTGCGATGGTCACAGGTGCGAAGATGAAGGCGCAGGTGCTAGAAGAAATGGACTTGGCATCCTCCGCAGATGCGGAGAATTTGTGCACATCAGCGGCTCTGCAGAAGCGGATTTTGGCGCGCAAAAGCGAGAGGAAGCGCATGTGCGGTTTGGATGTGCGCACCTGCGGTTGCGCAGAAGCGACTAATTATGTCGCAGGTGCGGTCACGCCTTGGCAGAAAAGAGAAATTCGAGGGTTTGATTTCATTCTTCATTTTTGGACTTGAGAGCTCAGAATTTGGCGATTTTTCGAGGGATTTTCAAAGGAAGCTTTGGGGTAATGATTCCTAACTCGTTTCAGGTTGTATTCCATTAATCTATAGTTGTTTTCTCCATTTAATTTCGGATATTTGGGGTTGAAATTGGAAATAATTGGAAGGACTTCTTCAATAAAGATTTTGAGTTTTGAAAGGGGATTTGTGGTCGGATTTGAGTAATTCTTATATGGTTGGACTCGTGAGTGAATGTATGTTCATATATTGTGAGTTTTACCCGATTTCGAGACGTGGGCCCGGGTCGACTTTTTAGGGCGAATTTTGAAATTTTTGTTAAAATATTGATTTTATTAAATAAATGAGTCTATTATCGTTATATTCATGATATGCAATTGTTTTTGGCTAGATTTGGACCATTCGGAGTCGGATTATTGAGAAAAGGGCATTCTTACGGACTGTTTGAGCTTGGTTCGAGATATGTATCTTGCCTAATCTTGTGTGGGGGATTTTCCCCTTAGAATTTGAGTCTTCTATGTTGATTGTAGTCCATGTACGCGAGGTGACGAGTGCATGCTCGGATTTATTAGTGGAAAGTTGGCCTTTTAGGTTCTTAGGTCCTTATATTCACTGAGTATGAAGTTGTTCTTGATATGATTAAGTTCATATTTACTAATTTCACCTCTACATGCTTTAATTTGAATTAATTGCTTCAGGATTTGCTCTTATTACCTATTTGACTCTTATTTGGCTTAACTGAAGATTTTACCTCTTCTATTGTCATGCTATCTTTTCATAACTGCTGATCTCTATTTGGAATTATTATTATCTCATCCTATAATTGTTCAGTCTTAATTGAGGTTATGATTATCTTTACGCGGTTTATCCTTAATTGAATTGTTGAATATCCTTCGTAATTTCCTCAACCTTAAAAGAAGTTTTAGATATCCTACATCTTAGTCGACTTGTTTTATTTGGATTTATTTGACTCGTGTTAGCTTCCATGTTATGGAAATGTATATTGTGGAACCGTTGCTACATATTAGTTTTTCCCTTGTTGAGTTGTTCTCTTTACGCCTAGCATTCTTTACTGTGGTTATTCCTTGTGAATTGGTTCTACCGTTTCTTGTGATTTAAAGTTCTTGAGTTGATTTACTTGTCGTACTTTGTATTATTGCCGTTGTTGTTNTGATTTGTGATGGCCTGGGGGCATTCTTGTTGTTGATATTTGTGTAGTGGTACACTTACCTGTGTGAACTTTATCTTGTGAAAGTTGTGAGAAGATATTCTACGTGATATCCGTTCTTTTTCCTTATGCTTATTTGCTGGTATGGACTATGTTAGGACACTTGCACAAGATACACATAGTTAAGCATTCTTATCGGATAAGAGGTGCTCTTGATATTGTTGAGCATAGATGTTCACCCTTGTTTACTTGCCTTCTATGTGAGAATGTCTCTATTGGCGCGTGAGCCGTCAGTGCAGTTATGAGGTGTTATGAGGGCACATGATGCCAAGTGTTAGGGTTCAGGTATTGAGACCCGTGAGTTGTGATTTGTCCGAGGTTCGGTACCTCGTGGATTTGTTGACTAAAACTTGGTGTAAAAGTAGTTGTAGTTGTTGCGTTATTACTTATCCTTACCGTATTTGTGATCCCGAATTTAGGTTGTGTTCCATTCACTTTATCTGTGTCATTTTCATGATATTCCGCTGACTTGTTGTTTCCTTCCTTATTGCCATTACTCTCTTGTGAGCCATATTGCATAGTCTTTATGTATACATCATACTTCTGTTGTTCATATACTTATACATGTTTAGTTTATTAGACCAGTGGGTGTCTTGATTGTTCCTCGTCACTACTCCACCGAGGTTAGTCTTGATACCTACTGGGCACTGCTGTGGTGTGCTCATTCTACACTTCTGCATATTTTTGTGCAGATCCAGGTACTTGTTCGTTAGCTAGCTGTGTGGATTATTGTTGTGGAGACTCAAGGTAAACCTGTTGCTACGTTCGCAGGCTTCAGAGTCACCTTCAAGTTTTCATTTTGCACTGTTTATTCCTATTTCTGGACAGTTGTATTTAGAGGTTTTCTAGCAAACACTCTTTAGAGCTTATAACTTGTACTATCGATTTTGGGAATTGTAAATTTAAGGGATTTCTATTTCAAATTGTTAGATGTTATTTAAATAATGTTGTTGCTTCAATTAATGTTAGGCTTACCTAGTCCTTAAGACTAGGTGCCATCACGATACCCAACGGAGGGAAAATTGGGTCGTGACAAGTTGATATCAGAGCTTTAGGTTCATAGGTGCTACGAGTCATAAACGAGTTAAGTAGAGTCTCGCGGATCGGTACAGAGACGTCTGTACTTATCTTCGAGAGGCTACAAAACTATTAGTACAATCTCACTTCTTTCATTCCTATCGTGCGAGCTTATTGATCTCGGAGTTTGAACTTTTATCATTCCATTCTCTCACAGATGGTGAGGACACGAGCTGCGGTTATCGACGACGCTACTCCCGGAGCAGGTATCGCTAGAGGCAGAGGTAGAGGCTGACAAGGAGTAAGTGTCGTAGGCAGAGCACCTACCAGAGTAGTAGTTGAGGAGCCGCCAATAGTTCCAGTTGGGGAGCAGGTACCAGAGGCGCCTGCTGTTACCCCCCGAACTTCAGGAGACCTTAGCACAGTTCTTGAGCATGTTTGCTATATTGGATCAGGCGGGGTTGATTCCGGTTGCTCCAGCTACTTCACAGACTGGGGGAGGAACCCAAACTCCCGCCGCCCACACCCCAGAGCAGCGAGTTCGTGTTTGTCAGGTTCCATCTATCATTGAGACACAACCTGTGGTTCTAGTTCAGACCGTGGTCAGGGCAGTAGCATATGAGGAAGAGCAGCTTAGACTTGCAAGGTTTAAGAAATATGACCCTCTTACATTCAGTGGTTTGGCTTCAGAGATTGCACAAGGTTTTCTGGAGGAGTGCCATCGCATTCTCCGCACTATGGGTATTGTTGAGACGAGTTGGGTTGCTTTTACTATGTTCCAGCTCAGGGGAGCGACTTATCAGTAGTGGCGGGCATATGAGTTAGGTAGCCCAACCGAGTTAGCTTCACTTATGTGGGTTCAGTTTTCAGAGATGTTCCTGAGAGAGTTTGTACCTCAGTCCCTTCGAGATACAAGGCGCGCGGAGTTTGAGCAGCTGCGCCAGGGCACTATGTCAGTGTCAGAGTATACCGTGAGATTCAGTGATATGGCCATGCATGCACCTGCTTTGGTCGCCACACTTAGAGAGTGTGTCCGTAGATTCATTGAGGGACTCAAGCATGATATTCGGTTCAGCATGGCTCGGGAGTTAGAGTCAGATGTTTCGTTTCAGCAGGTGGTAGGGATCGCTCTCTGATAGATGGTGAGGACACGAGTTGCGGTTATCGACAACGCTGCTCCCGGAGCAGGTATCACTAGAGGCAGAGGTAGAGGCCGACGAGGAGTAAGTGTCGTAGGAAGAGCACCTACCAGAGTAGTAGTTGAGGAGCCGCCAGTAGTTCCAGTTGGGGAGCAGGTACCGGAGGCGCCTGTTGTTACCCCCGGACTTCAGGAGACCTTAGCACAGTTCTTGAGCATCTTTGGTACATTGGCTCAGGCGGGGTTGATTCCGGTTGCACCAGCTACTTCACAAATCGGGGGAGGAACCCAGACTCCCGCCGCCCAATCCCCAGAGCAGCTCGTTCATGTTGGTCAGGTTCCAGGTGACATGGCGACACAGCTTGTGGTTCCAGTTCAGCCCGTGGTCAGGGCAGCATCATCTGAGGAAGAGCAGCTTAGACTTGAAAGGTTTAAGAAATATGACCCTCCTATATTCAGTGGTTTGGCTTCAGAAAATGCACATGGTTTTCTGGAGGAGTGCCATCGCATTCTCTGCACTATGGGTATTGTTGAGACGAGTGGGGTTGCTTTTACTATGTTCCAGCTCAGGGGAGCGGCTTATCAGTGGTGGCGGGCATATGAGTTGGGTAGCCCAGCCGAGTTAGCTTCACTTACGTGGGTTCCATTTTCAGAGATGTTCCTGAGAGAGTTTCTACCTCAGTCCCTTCGAGATGCATGGCGCACAGAGTTTGAGCAGTTGCGCCAGGGCACTATGTCAGTGTCAGAGTATACCGTGAGATTCAGTGATTTGGCCAGGTATGCACCTGCTTTGGTCTCCACAGTTAGAGAGCGTGTCCGTAGATTCATTGAGGGACTCAGGCATGATATTCGATTCAACATGGCTCGGGAGTTAGAGTCAGATGTTTCGTTTCTGCAGGTGGTAGGGATCGCTCGCCGTGTAGAGGGCACGTAAGATCAGGAGAGAGAGGACAGGCGGGGCCATGAGAGAGAGAACAGGCAAGATCAGGAGAGAGAGGACAGGGAGGCGAGGAAGCCTCGTAGACCGGAGAGAGCTGCTGGTCCTTATTTTGGAGGCAGGGTACGACATAATAGAGGTTTTGTGGGTCAGCCAGTTGAGTTTGCACTTCAGGCTTCGCACAGTGTTTTAGGTGTTCATGGGTCTCAGAGTACCTGTACCGCACAGTTCCCACAGCCACGTCAGCAGAGAGGTTTCTTCGAGTGTGTAGATACCATCCACAGGGTGAGATATTGTCCTAGACTCCGGACGGGTGTGTCACAGCAGAGTATTCAGGCAAGTAGAGGGTGCCCAAGAGGGGAAGGCCCGGCCCATTGATGTGTTTTCTATAGCAGGCTTGAGGCCGTTGTGCCAGATGATTCCATACAGGTATGTTTTTGATTTGTTAAAGAGGGGCAACATTCGTATTTTGTTTCAGTTCTGCTTATTAGGGTGAGTCCTCTATTTGTTGCTCCACCTATGGGTGAGTTCATGACTTAGTATTATGTCTATGTGTTTGCCCATGTTGAGAGATTCTATGAGTGATAGCCGTGTCTATCGTTGTTTTAATTCATTATTGAAAGTTACGAGACTATAAGTGAAGTCATGTTGTCTATTATGACAGGTTTGATGTGATTCCTGAGTAAATTGGTTATGATTTGTGATTTGATACTCTACCGGGGTAAGAGTTTAGTAAGTGTTGTGATTTTATTGGCAGAATTGAGTTAGTAGAAGATTTCCATTTGTATGATGTATATTCGACTTGTGATTCAGAGTTGAGGGTGAGAGCCTCATGACTCCATGTGATTTGATATGTTTGAGCCGGGTTGCGTGCCGCGGTGGAAGTTATATCAGGATGAGATTCTTGTGATTTGTTCATATACTTTGATTTTTTCCTTTTGAATTGATTCGTAGTATGGTATTGTTAGAGAGTTGTGCATGTCGGGCTTGTTTGATATTTCCCTTATGTGTTTCTCTTTACATATTCAGTCATTTTCATTCTGTGCTTCTTGAGTTTTAGCTTGCGGGGTGTGTGCCCGGTGGTGTTAGTTGTGACTTGTTGATTCGAGTGTATAGTTAAGAGGTCCTCATATTTCTTGCATCGTTGTCAGTGTTGTGGAGGTTTGAAACAGGGTTTTAACGGATATGAGGCTAATTGTCGGTGCTGGTTTTGATTACGGGCAGCTATTGTGATCAGAAATGTTATCATGGGCCTATGTGTGGTGTGTCATGTTGTGTAGTCGTACCTTGTGGGTGTAGGCATGAGTTGTTACAGCTAGTTGAGACTGATACCGGTTATTGATTTAGAATCGGGTCTTTTGAAGATAAATGGAAGGTGAGAATTTTGACTCTAAGGCTTATCGGAGTTGATAGAAAGGATAAATTACAGTTGGGATAGTGTCGTCAAGCTTATGTGGATTGGGGTGACGTAGGGTCCCCCGCGGGGTTATGTTGGATATGTACTTTCAGGGATTTGAAGACTTCGAGGCGATTCTTAGCACGTTCGAGGACGAACATTTGTTTAAGAGGGGAAGGATATAACGACCCGGCCAGTCGTTTTGAGAATTCAAGTCACGTTCGGTGGCATAAGGCCTTGAGCGGCTTCGTATTATGTGTATTGACTTGCGTGCATGGTTGAATTCAGTTACCGGATTTTTCGGAGTGATTTAGGACACTTAGTCCCTAAAACGAAAGCTTAAGTCTTAGGATTTTGACCGTAGTCGGAACTTTGTGAAGAAGACTCCAGAATGGAGTTTTGTCGGTTCCGTTAGCTCCGTTGGATGATTTTGGACTTAGGGGTGTGTCCGGATTGTGTTTTGGAGGTTTGTAGCTCATTTAGGTTTGATATGGCGAAAGTCGAATTTTTGGAGATTTTGACCGGTAGTGGACCTTTTGATATCGGGGTCGTAAGGCGATTCCGAGAGTTGGAACAGCTCCGTTATGTTATTTGGGACTTGTATGCAAAATTTGACGTCAATCCGGGTTGGTTTGATAGGTTTCGGCATGTGTTTTAGAAGTTGGAAGAATCGAAAATTTATAAGTTTGATTCTTGGTGCGATTTGTATTTTCGGCGTTGTTTGATGTGATTTGAGACCTCGAGCGAGTCCGTGTTAGGTTATGGAACTTGGTTGTATGCTTGGACGGGGTCCCGGGGGCCGAGGTGTATTTCGGATGAGTTTCGAATGGTTTCCGTGGTTGTGAAGAGGTATGCGTTCTGGTGTAATTGCACCTGCGGACCTTGGGCGCATGTGCGATGGTCGCAGGTGCGAAGATGAAGGCACAAGTGCGAGAAGAGATGGACTTGGCACCCTCCGCAGATGCGGAGAATTTGTGCGCATCAGCGGCTCCGCAGAAGCGGATTTTGGCGCGCAGAAGCGAAAGGAAGCGCAGGTGCGGTTTGGACGTGCGCACCTGCGGTTGCGCAGATGCGGCTAATTATGTCGCAGGTGCGGTCACGCCTGGGCAGAAAAGAGAAATTCGAGGGTTTGATTTCATTCTTCATTTTTGGACTTGAGAACTCGGAATTTGGCGATTTTTCGATGGATTTTCAGAGGAAGCTTTGGGGTAATGATTCCTAACTCGTTTTTGGTTGTATTCCATTAATCTATAGTTGATTTCTCCATTTAATTTCGGATTTTTAGGGTTGAAATTGGAAAACATTGGAAGAACTTCTTCAATAAAGATTTCGAGTTTTGAAAGGGGATTTGTAGTCGGATTTGAGTAATTCTTATATGGTTGGACTCGTGAGTGAATGGGTGTTCATATTTTGTGATTTTTACCCTATTCTGAGACGTGGGCCCGGGTCGACTTTTTAGGCCGAATTTCGGAATTTTTGTTAAAATATTTATTTCATTAATTAGATGAGTCTATTATCGTTATATTCATGATATGCAATTGTGTTTGGCTAGATTTGGATCATTCGGAGTCGGATAATTGAGAAATAGGCATTCTTACAGACTGTTTGAGCTTGGTTCGAGGTAAGTATCTTTCCTAACCTTGTGTGGGGGATTTTTCCCTTAGGATTTGAGTTTTCTATGTTGATTGTAGTCCATGTACGCGAGGTGACGAGTGCGTGCTCGAATATATTTGTGGAAAGTTGGCCTTTTAGGGTCTTAGGTCCTTATATTCACTGAGTATGAAGTTGTTCTTGATATGATTAAGTTCCTATTTACTAATTTCACCTCTACATGCTTTAATTTGAATTAATAGCTTCAAGATTTACTCTTGTTGCCTATTTGACTCTTATTTGGCTTAACTGAAGATTTTACCTCTTCTATTGTCATGCTATCTTTTCATAACTGCTGATCTTTATTTGGAATTATTATTATCTCATCCTATAATTGTTCAGTTTTAATTGAGGTTATGATTATCTTTACGTGGTTTATCCTTAATTGAATTGTTGAATATCCTTCGAAATTTCCTCAACCTTAAAAGAAGTTTGAGATATCCTACGTCTTAGTCGACTTGTTTTATTTGGATTTATTTGACTCGTGTTAGCTTCCCTGTTGTGGAAATGTATAGTGTGGGACCGTTGCTTCATATTAGTTTTTCCTTGTTAAGTTGTTCTCTTTACGCCTAGTATTCTTTACTGTGGTTATTCCTTGTGAATTGGTTCTACCGTTTCTTGTGATTTAAAGTTCTTGAGTTGATTTACTTCTCGTACTTTGTATTATTGCTATTGTTGTTGTTGTACTTGTTGTAGTGATGCACGAGGTTTCTGCCGTGCGGTTGTTATTATTGTGATGCACGAGGTTTCTGCCGTGCGGTTGTTGTTATGGGGTTGCACGAGGTTTCTGTCGTACTATTGTTACAATTTATAATTGCATATGCAGCGTGACAAGGCGGGATATGTATATAAATATATATATGTGGGTTGCGCATGTGGCGAGACACGGCGGACACTTACTTTATTATTGCACATGTGGCGAGACAAGGTGGGTTGTGTTAGGGATTGATTTGTGATGATTTGTGATGGCCTGGGGGCATTCTTGTTGTTGATATTTATGTAGTGGTACACTTACCTGTGTGAGCTTTATCTTGTGAAAGTTGTGAGAAGATATTCTACATGATGTTCGTTCTTTTTCCCTATGCTTATTTGCTGGTATGGACTATGTTAGGACACTTGCACAAGCATACACATAGTTAAGCACTCTTATCGGATAAGAGGTGCTCTTAATATTGTTGAGCATAGATTCTCACCCTTGTTTACTTGCCTTCTGTGTGAGAATGGCTTTATTAGCACGTGAGTCGTCAGTGCAGTTATGAGGTGTTATGAGGGCACAAGATGCCAAGTATTAGGGTTCAAGTATTGAGACCCGTGAGTTGTGATTTGTCCGAGGTTTGATACCTCGTTGAGTTGTTGACTAAAACCTGATGTAAAGGCGGTTGTAGTTGCTGAGTTATTACTTGTCCTTATCGTATTTGTGATCCTGAATTTAGGTTGTGTTCCATTCACTTTGTCTGTGTCATTTTCATGATATTCCGCCGATACTTGTTGTTTCCTTCCTTATTGCCATTACTGTCTTGTGAGCCATATTGCATAGTCTTTATGTATACATCATACTTTTGTTGTTCATATACTTATACATGTTCAGTTTATTAGACCAGTGGGTGTCTTGATTGTTCCTCGTCACTACTCCACCGAGGTTAGTTTTGATACTTACTGGGCACCGCTGTGGTGTGCTCATTCTATACTTCTGTACATTTTTGTGCAGATCCAGGTACTTGTTCATTAGCTAGCTGTGTGGATTGTTGCTGTGGAGACTCAAGGTAAACATGTTGCTATGTTCGCAGGCTTCGCAGTCACCTTCAAGTTTTCGTTTTGCAGTGTTTATTCCTATTTTTGGACAGTTGTATTTAGAGGTTTTCTAGCAAACACTCTGTAGAGCTTATGACTTGTTCTACCGGTTTTGGGAATTGTAAATTTAAGGGATTTCTATTTCAAATTGTTAGATGTTATTTAAATAATATTGTTGCTTCAATTAATGTTAGGCTTACCTAGTCCCTAAGACTAGGTGTCATCATGATACCCAACGGAGGGAAAATTGGGTCGTTACAAGTTGGTATCACAGCTCTAGGTTCTTAGGTACTACGAGTCATAAGCGAGTTTAGTGGAGTCCCGCGGATCGGTACGGGGACGTCTGCACTTATCTTCGAGAGGCTACAGAACTATTAATACAATCTCACTTCTTTCATTACGATCGTGCGAGCTTATTGATCTCGGAGTTTGAATTTTTATCATTCCATTCTCTGACAGATGATGAGGACACGAGCTGCGGTTATCGACGACGCTGCTCCCGGAGCAGGTATCACTAGAGGCAGAGGTAGAGGCCGACGAAGAGTAAGTGTCGTAGGAAGAGCACCTACCAGAGTAGCAGTTGAGGAGCCGCCAGTAGTTCCAGTTGGGGAGCAGGTACCGGAGGCGCCCGTTGTTACCCCCAGACTTCAGGAGACCTTAGCACAGTTCTTGAGCATCTTTGGTACATTGGCTCAGGTGGGGTTGATTCCGGTTGCACCAGCTACATCACAGATCGGGGGAGGAACCCAGACTCCCGCCGCCCACACCCCAGAGCAGCGCGTTCATGTTGGTCAGGTTCCAGGTGTCATGGCGACACAGTTTGTGGTTCCAGTTTAGCCCGTGGTCAGGGCAGCAGCATCTGAGGAAGAACAGCTTAGACTTGAAAGGTTCAAGAAATATGACCCTCCTACATTCAGTAGTTTGGCTTCAGAGAATGCACGGGGTTTTCTGGAGGAGTGCCATCGCATTCTCTGCACTATGGGTATTGTTGAGACGAGTGGGGTTGCTTTTACTACGTTCCAGCTCAGGGCAGCGGCTTATTAGTGGTGGCTGGCATATGAGTTGGGTAGCCCAGCCGAGTTAGCTTCACTTATGTGGGTTCCATTTTCAGAGATGTTCCTGAGAGACTTTGTTCCTCAGTCACTTCGAGATGCATGGCGTGCGGAGTTTGAGCAGTTGCGCCAGGGCACTATGTCAGTGTCAGAGTATACCGTGAGATTCAGTGATTTGGCCAGGCATGCACCTGCTTTGGTCACCACAGTTAGAGAGCGTGTCCGTAGATTCATTGAGGGACTCAGGCATGATATTCGGTTCAACATGGCTCGGGAGTTAGAGTCAGATGTTTCGTTTCAGCAGGTGGTAGGGATCACTCGCCGTGTAGAGGGCATGTAAGATCAGGAGAGAGAGGACAGGCGGGGCCATGAGAGAGAGTATAGGCAAGATCAGGAGAGAGAGGACAGGGAGGCGAGGAAGCCTCGTAGACCGGAGAGAGCTATTGGTCCTTATTTTGGAGGCAGGGTACGACATGGTAGAAGTTTTGTGGGTCAGCCAGTTTAGTTTGCACTTCAGGCTTCGCACAATGTTTTAGGTGTTCTTGGGTCTCAGAGTACCCGTACCGCACAGTTCCCACAGCCACATCAGCAGAGAGGTTGCTTCGAGTGTGGAGATACTAGCCACAGGGTGAGAGCTTGTCTTAGACTCCGGACGGGTGTATCACAATAGAGTATTCAGGCGAGTAGAGGGCGCCCAAGAGGGGAAGGCCCGGCCCGTTGATGTGTTTCCTATAGTAGGCTTGAGGCCGTTGCGCCAGATGATGCCATACAGGTATGTTTTTGATTTGTTACAGAGGGACACCATTCGTATTTTGTTTCAGTTCTGCTTATTAGGGTGAGTCCCCTATTTGTTGCTCCACGTATGGGTGAGTTCATGACTTAGTATTATTTCTATGTGTTTGCCCCTGTTGGGAGATTCTATGAGTGATAGCTTTGTCTATCATTGTTTTATTCATTATTGAAAGTTACGAGACTATAAGTGAAGTCATGTTGTCTATTATGACAGGTTTGATGTGATTCCTGAGTAAATTGGTTATGATTTATGATTTGATACTCTACCATGGTGAGAGTTTAGTAAGTATTGTGATTTTATAGGCAGAATTGAGTTAGTGGAAGATTTCCATTGGTATGATGTGTATTCAACTTGTGATTCAGAGTTAAGGGTGAGATCCTCGCGACTCCATGTGATTTGATATGTTTGAGCCGGGCTGCGTGCCACGGTGGAAGTTATATCAGGATGAGATTCTTGTGATTTGTTCATATACTTTGATTTTTTCCTTTTGAATTGATTCGTAGTATGATACTGTTAGAGAGTTGTGCCTGTCGGGCTTGTTTGATATTTCCCTTATGTGTTTCTCTTTACATATTCAGTCATTTTCATTCTGTGCTTCTTGAGTTTTAGCTTTTGGGGTGTGTGCCCGGTGGTGTTAGTTGTGACTTGTTGATTCAGGTGTATAGTTAAGAGGTCATCATGTTTCTTGCATCATTGTCAGGGTTGTGGAGGTTTAAAACAAGGTTCTAACGGATATGAGGCTAATTGTCGGTGCTGGTTTTGATTACGGGCAGCTATTGTGATCAGAAATGTTATCATGGGCCTATGTGTGGTGTGTCATGTTGTGTAGTCGTATCTTGTGGGTATAGGCATGAGTTGTTACAGCTGGTTGAGACTGATACCGGTTATTGATTTAGAGTCGGGTCTTTTGAAGATAAATGGAAGGTGAGAATTTTGACTCTAAGGCTTACCAGAGTTGATAGAAAGGATAAATTACAGTTGGGATAGTGTCGTCAGGCTTATGTGGATTGGGGTGACGTAGGGTCCCCCGCGGGGGTATGTTGGATATGTACTTTCAGGGATTTGAAGACTTCGAGGCGATTCTTAGCACGTTCAAGGACGAACGTTTGTTTAAGAGGGGAAGGATGTAACGACCCGGCCGGTCATTTTGAGAATTCAAGTCCCGTTCGGCGGCATAAGGCCCTGAGCGGCTTCGTATTATGTGTATTGACTTGCGTGCATGGTTGAATTCAGTTACCGGATGATTCGGAGTGATTTAGGACATTTAGTCCCTAAAACGGAAGTTTAAGTCTTAGGATTTTGACCATAGTTGGAACTATATGAAGACGACTCCGAAATGGAGTTTCGTCGGTTCCATTAGCTCCGTTGGGTGATTTTGGACTTAGGGGCATGTCCGAATTGTGTTTTGGAGGTCTATAGCTCATTTAGGCTTGAAATGGCGAAAGTTAAATTTTTGGAGATTTTGACCGGTAGTGGACTTTTTGATATCGGGGTCGCAATGCGATTCCGAGAGTTGGAACAGCTCCGTTATGTCATTTGGGACTTGTCTGCAAAATTTGACGTCATTCCGGTTTGGCTTGATAAGTTTCGGCACGAGTTTTAGAAGTTGGAAGATTCAGAAATTTATAAGTTCGATTCTTTTGAATTAAAGAAATTACCTCTTTAACAAACCCTAGAACTTTGAAAATTTGAGTTTTGAGATATTCTTCAAAAATCTATAATTTTTATGAGATTGGAGAGTTAAAAGATGTAATAAATGAACCCAACCTACCAAAGAAATGGATTTAATACTCACCTCAAGACATTTATGGAGTGGTAGCTCTCTCTTCTTTCTAACCCCAAAAGAACTTGACCCAAATAATATTTACTCTCGAATAGCTTATAAAAAGGTTGCTTCAGTGATTCTCGCGGGACATGTGCGACACATCCTCATCACGCGACTTGTCCATTTGCTACAAAATTTTGGACGCCTTGGCCTGACTTCACTGCCCATTCCATTGCCTTTAGCCAATCACAAATAAGTTTTCCTTCAAATTCATTCTCTTTTGTTCCTTGTCTTTGCCATTTAATTAATTATTTTGTCCCCCATTTCTCGACAACATAGCAACCCTAATGTCTGTTTCAAATTCTATCAAATGCATCAAATGGCTTAGCTTAGTCACATGCTTCCTAGTTTTCAGATTGTTAAGTGTAGAATTTTAATAATGATCCAATATCTATAAAGAAGTCTTGACTAATGTTGTAATTTATATATTCAGGTGAAGCAAGCATTGCCAAAAAGGAATGAAGATCCACTCCATGAATATGTATCTTAGACCATTGCCTTATATGTGACTCACCTGCAAATACAAAACAACAGATTTTGTATGAAGGAAGATTTAAAATAGAAAGGGAACAAAATATAATGGGAGACAATTTGAAGTGATGCTCCTCTACCCAATAAAGCATGGAGCATGAAAAGTACTCTCTGGATAAAACTAATCCAGTCCATCAACTGTTCTCTCTCTTCTTCGACAAAGCATGGAGAATGGAAGCAACTCCCCACATCTTGACATAGGAACACTCCCTGGATTATTAAATCTAGCCCATCCTTAATGAAGAAATCAAAGACATGGGTCATGAATCAAGTATAGAAAAAAATGTTGTGTGCACCGATCAAAATAATGGACAACTGCTCTCAAATCTGATCTATAAGAAGACTGGTGCATATTCAAGGATCGCTGCGCAACTACAAAAATTGATTCTAAACCTTTCTAGTTCTTAGTACAAACATTGTATTCTTGAGTTTACAAGTGTCATAAAAGATAGGAAGAGATAGAGCACAAAAAGAGAGTTGTGTCAACTTTACAAAAGCTATTATGACTGAATGTTGTTGATGGTGAACAAACCAAAACCATCATCATTGTAACATATTATCAAAGATCTAAGAAGTCTCTTGTGATCCAAGGGAAACTGGATATAAGTACCTTATCGATACTGAACCAGTATAAAAATTGTTGCGTCCCGTTATCTTTCAGTTTGCTTAGTTTACTTCTATTTATCTGTTCACTGTGCAGAATCTAGTCGACTAAACTCAAATTTATTCAACTAAGTTTTAATCGACCACAATTCACTCCCCCCCCCTCTTGTTCTTTCAATTGGTATCAGAGCGAGGCTCACAAACCTTGCTTAACAGCTAGTGAGAAAAAGATCACGGGATCAAACACAGTCGTCAGTGCACTTTCAAGAGGGAACTTCTCAGGTACGACCTCCATATTTCAACGGGCAACACTTTTCTCACTGGAAAGTTCGAATGAAAACATACACTATGTCATATGACATCAAAGTTTGGCGTGCGATCAAAAAGGAAAATTTTCCAGTTCCGTAAAAGAAAGATGAGGATGGTCAAGTCATATTATCAACTGACCCACTTGATTTAGATGATTACACTGATGAACAGGCTGCTGTCATAACTGTGAATTCCAAAGCAAAAAATCTTATGTACAATGCTATCAGTGGAGAAGAGTATGAAAAGATTTCGAGCTGTGAAACTGCCAAGGAAATGTGGGATAAATTGGAAGTAACATATGAAGGAACCAACAAGGTAAAAGAAACAAGGATCAATCTTATAGTTCGTGACTATGAACTATTCCAAATGAAAGATGGAGAATCAGTGGAGGAAATGTTCTCCAGGTTCAGTAAAATCCTTGGAGATCTAAAGTCTCTTGGTAGACCAATCAAAAGTGGAGAACAGGTCAGAAAAATCCTTAGAAGTCTACCCACAATTTGGCAGCCCAAAGTTATTGCTCTAGAATGTCAGGACCTTGACAAAATGTCCTATGATAAACTTAGAGGTGATCTAATTGCCTTTGAGAAAACTCACTTGGACAGGCAAATTCAACATAAAAAGAAGAAAACGGTTTCCTTTAAAGCAAATGTTGCTGAATTAGAAAATGAAGAAGAGGAGGAAGAACATGATGAAAATATAGCCATGCTCTCCCAAGTTGTGACAAGCATGATGGAGAAAAACAGATATAGCAGAAGAGGTAGATCAAACTTCAGAAAAGGAAGGATGAGCAATGAAAATGATAAAAATGATGGAAGATGCTATGAATGTGGAAAATACGGACACATTCAAGCTGATTATCCAGAATTGAAAAAAAAACTAAGTAGGAACTTTCAAAAGAAGAAGTCTTGTGGAGCCTGGAGCGATGAAGAAGAATACGACCATGAAGAAATTGCAAATATGTGTTTCATGGTCACAAAAAAAGATAACAATAAAGGCTCAGATAAGCCTGAGCTCATGGCAGAAAATGAAGCAGATGAGAAAGAAGACTCCGATGAACTCTGTCTTATGGCAGACAAAGGAACCAGTGAGGTACGTCTTCCTTCGTATTCCAACTGGTATAAGCTTCAAGAATTTGTGGATATTGCTCTTACAGATATCGAAAATTTTTTAGGAGAACTCAGAAAAATCCAAAGAGAAAAGAAAGATTGGGCCCTGAAGTTAGAAGTATGTGAAATTAAGCGTGACACGCTTCAAGTTAATGAACTTAAACTTCAACTGAATGGATTACTAAAATCCACAAGTCATAGCTTTGTCAAATCAAATCAGATTGTTCCTCATACATCTTTGATTAGAACTAGAAACTCTCAGGGATGCTCTTATTGTGGTAAAAATGGTCACAACACTAACCAGTGTATGAACAAAATCAGAGCAGAAAGAGACTCTAAAAATCAAAAAAAATTCATTGTGTTTTTACTATGGAAAATCTGGTCACACTTTTTATCATTGCAGGATCAAAGACAACAGGAGATGGGTATGGCGACCTAAATCCATTAGTCAAGCTAACACTCAGAAGTCTAACCATTCAGGACCCAAGCAGGCTTGCGTACCTAAAAATAAGTAATTTTGTTTTGCAGGAACACCGCAAGAAGAATCAAAAAGAAAAATAATATCTTGACAGCGCGTGTTCCAGACATATGACTGGTGACAAACAATTATTCAAAATTATCACCAGACTTGATGGAGGAACAGTTACATTTGGAGACAAATCAAAAGGAAATGTAATTGGCGTTGAAAAAGTTTCTCGCAGCTCAACATGTGATGTAGATGAAGTGTATCTCGTTGAAGAACTTGGGTACAATCTTCTCACCATTAGTCAACTATGTGATGATGACTATGAGGTTCGGTTCAAAAAATATGGTTGGTTTATTGAAGATGAATCATGTAAAGTTATTCTCTTTGGAAATAGGGACAAAAATGTTTATACTATCAGTAACTTGGAAAGCTCTAGTAATCAGATTTGTCTATCTTCCATTCTTGATGACCCCTGGGCATGGCATAGAAAACTTGGTCATACTAGCATGCATACTATTCATAATCTTTATAAAAACGATCTTGTCATTGGTCTTCCAAAACTAGATTTTTCGAAAGATCAAATTTGTGATGCATGTCAACTAGGAAAACAAACCAGATCCTCTTTTAAAGTCAAAAATATTGTCTCCACTTCAAAACCTCTTCAAGTATTGCATATGGATCTCTTTGGACCTACTAGAACTGTTAGCATAGGTGGTAAAAAGTATGCCTTTGTTATAGTAGATGATTTTTCTAAATTCACCTGGGTTATTTTTCTGAGCCACAAAGATGAAGCTCTACAAAACTTTAAAGTCTTTTGCAAGAGAAATACAGCGTGAAAAAGGTTACTACATTTCCTCCATAAGAAGTGACCATGGAGGAGAATTTAAAAGCAAAGCTTTTAAGAACATCTGCAATGATCAAGGGATCTCTCACAATTTCTCTTCCCCAAGATCACCACAACAAAATGGAGTGGTAGAACATAAAAACAGAACTCTACAAGATATGGCGAGAACCATGATTTTGAAAAATTCTCTCCCACACCACTTCTGGGCAGAAGCCGTAAGTACAACATGTCATATCATAAATAGATGCCTTATTCGACCAATACTCAAGAAGACTCCATATGAACTATGGAGAGGAAAAAGACCCAACATCAGTTATTTCCATCCCTTCAGGTGTAAGTGTTTTATTCACAACAATGAAAAAGATAATCTTGGTAAATTCGATCCCAAAAGCGATGAAGGTATCTTTCTCGGATACTCTCCTTTCAGTAGAGCATATACAGCTTTTAATAAGCGTACTTTATCCATTGAAGAATCTATACATGTTATTTTTGTGGATACTAACCCTCATTTGAAGAATGATCATCTTCCCGAAAATGAAGAAATTTCCATAGTGCCAAAGTCTATCGATACAAGTGGAATTACCTCTGAAGAAGTGACTGATCGGCAAGATCAGTCGACTATGCCTCTGACAGAAAATTAGGAGTCCACTTTGATCGGTCCAACTTACTCTGCTGAAAAGGAATCAGAATTAGTCATCCCAAATGAATGAAAAAGCGAACCTGGATATCCCCATAAGTATATCATTGGGGACCCATAGGAAGGGATGAAGACTAGAAGATCTCTAAAGCAGACATCAAATATCGCCCTCATATCCCAACTTGAACCAAAAAGGGTGGACGAAGCACTTGGTGACAAAAGTTGGATAATTGCAATGAAGAAAGAGCTTGATCAATTTGAGAACAACAAAGTATGAAAATTCATTTCTAGGCCACCAAATGCATCTATTATTGGAACAAAATGGGTATTCAGAAATAAGTTGAACGAATCCGGATAAATCATGCGAAATAAAGCGAGACTAGTTGCTCAAGGTTACTCACAACAAGAAGGGATTAATTATGAGAAGACTTTCGCCCATGTTGCCAGGTTAGAATCCATTCGTATTCTATTAGCTTATGCTGCTCACAAGTATTTCAAACTATTTTAGATGGATGTGAAAAGTGCCTTCTTATTTGGATTTATTTCTGAGGAGGTTTTCGTTAAGCAACCTCCATGATTTGTAAATGAATCCTTTCCCAATCATGTCTACAAATTATCCAAAGCTTTATATGGCCTAAAGCAAGCTCCTAGAGCCTAATATGAAAGGTTAAGCTTTTTCCTAATTAAACATGGATTCGACAGAGGTAATATTGATACTACTCTTTTCATCAAACGATCATCTTTAGGCAACCTAATTGTACAGATTTATGTAGATGATATTATTTTTGGTAGTACTAACATTGTTTTGTGCAAGAATTTCTCAAATATCATGAAAGGAGAATTTAAAATAAGTATGATGGGAGAATTAACCTTCTTCCTTGGACTTCAAATCAAGCAAACACAGAAAGGAATCTTCATTAGTCAAACAAAATATACGAAAGAACTCATCAAAAAGTATGGTATGTCCAATGCAAAAGCCATAGGAACACCTATGAGTCCGTCGACTACTTTGGATGAAGATAGAAATAGTAAGAGTGTTGATGAAATAATGTATCGAGGTATGATTGGCTCATTACTCTATCTTACTGCTAGTCGACCAGATATCATGTTTAGTGTTTGTAAATGTGCTAGATATCAGTCAGCTCCTAAAGAGACTCATTTGACTGTTGTTAAACGTATTATCAGATATTTAATAGGAACAGTCGACTATGGATTATGGTATGAAAGTCTGGAAAATTTCAATCCCAAAGGTTTTTCAGATGCAGACTTTGCAGGAGATAAACTTGATAGAAAAAGCACAAGTGGAACGTGTCAATTACTTGGAAAATCCCTTGTAGCCTGGCACAACAAGAAATAAAGTTGTGTGGCCTTATCTACTACAGAAGCTGAATATTTGGCAATAGGCAATTGTTGCACACAAGTACTATGGATCATGCATCAACTGTTAGATTATGATTTACATCTTAACTCTGTTCCGATCATGTGTGACAATACTAGTGCAATCTGTTTGTCAAAAAACTCTGTGCATCATTCTAGGGCTAAGCATATTGAGATCAAGCATCATTTTATACGTGATCATGTTGTTAAAGGAGATATTGTGTTAGAATTTGTTAATAATGAAAATCAGTTGGTGGATATTTTTACAAAATCTTTGCTTGAAGAAAGATTTTGTTTTCTTCTGAACAAAATTGGCATTTGCACAATTCCCTAATAAACATGGTTAATGTCTTAGCACTTAATTAGTCTTTACTCCTATTTGAACTGACAGTACAGTTTTGCAGAAAACCTTTTCAGTTGTCTTTCATACGTCTCTCCAGAAATCGAGGCGTCCTTCTCTTTGTTAAATCCTCCTCTCTCGAGTGTATCTCCCACTTTCTCAAGGAACCAAAACTCTCTCTCTCTGTCTTTCTCTTACTCATGGCCAAAGCAAAGCCCTCTCCCTCCTCTTCCTTGCAAAGAAGAAGCCACCGATTCAAGAAAACCAAAAATAATCTTGTTAATATCGAATCCTCCGAAAGCACAGAAAACCCACTCACTAAGGAAGAATCAAGTGGCTCCCAAAAAGAAATCCTCATATCTCAAAAGAGGGCAGGAAAACGACCAATCGAATCTATCCCCAAACAATCGTCTCAGAAAAAGGTAAAAACTGAAAATATTGTGTTTGGTCCTGAAGACAAGATGATTTTCTATGGTCCCGAAGACAAGATGATTTTCTATGGTCCTGAAGAAAATACTACATTTATCGCCTTCAAAGGAAAGTCAATTGTATTTGGTCGCACTGTGAGCTTAAAATCTATGCAAAACTCTCGCTGTGATGTTCTGTCTATTTTTGAAACTTAGAAACTTGTCTCCCTATTTGCTATTGTTTGTGATATTGTCTATGAAGAACCTGTGCGCATGTTTTATGAAAATCTTTTTTGTGAATGATAAAGAAGATCTAGAAACCATGGTCTTAGGAACTCGCATTATCCTTGATTCTTATCAATTTAAAAAAAATCTTTGCCACAAAGTTTGTTGGATACAACTTCTTTGTGCAATGTTCCTGGACAGATAATTTTGAAGTATCGTTTGATGAGGCCAAAAGTGTTCTGTCTGACAACCCTCCTGATATAGGTCCTAAGAACTTGAAGTTTGAACATCGTGTTTTAGCCCATATTATCTCAACCACTTTGCTACCCCGTACTGGTTCACTCAGTACTTTATCTCTTAGAGATGTATTCGTCCTGTATTTTTTGGTAAATGGTAAAACTATAAACTGGTTAGTCTGGATATGCCAATACATGCTTGAAAGTATCAGGGACGTTTCCTCATCTGCGAGCAGCCTGCCGTATGGTCTACTAGTTTCTCACATCCTGAAAGTCATGAAAGTGGACCTATCTATCTATGTTCCAAAGATTATCTCCAGCACCTATTATAAAACTGCCTTTGCTATGACGGGGTATACTTTAATTGAGGGAAGCTGACTTAAAAAGGACAAAGCATCAGAAGTCATTCGTACTCAGAGCAGTGGAGGAATAAAATTTGAAGCCATCAAATCCTCTTCTTCAGATCAACTGATGCTGATGCAGCATAACTTTGCAGATATCAAAGACTTACTAACCTCTATGCAAGAACAAGTAGACAAGATCAGAGAAGTAACCAAGGAAACCGCGACAGATGTGGCCAAACTTAGGATCACTCTTCAAGCCACAAGGAGGCAAGGGATCACGGACAAGGAGGCAAGGGATCACGGTCATGCAGGATGTTTCTGAGAAGCTAACCAAAGTCACCAAAGACATTGACGCCTCTTATGAAAGCTTCTGCACCAAAGTGATCAACACCCTGAAATACTTCTTTGGGAGACATTGAATATTTAGGAATGACTAAGACAATCTTTTTGCTTTTTATTTTCTTTTGGATGTGTCTAGTATGAGCATTAGTCGACTATGATCACTAAAACCGCTTAGTTGTACAAATTTTATGCCTGCTTAACTAGTACTATTATCTTATCTAGAACTATTACTCTAAGTAGTTTTTTTTTCTCTCTTTTTGATTGATATCAAAGAGGGAGAAAGAAAGAGCTGCAGGTATGCAGGTGAACTACAACTACAAACAAGTGTGTTACAAAAGAGTTGCAGATTCATCAACAACCAGCTTAAAGACAGGGCAAGCACACTTAAAAACCAGTACATATGCAGATTACCGGTTGAATCTCGAAAAATAAAATGTGTCACATAATTCGAACGGTAAGAGTAACTTAAAATGTGGTGGAAATTATAAGCAAAGTCAAAATTGAATTCAGGTCCTTTAAAGGCTGCTACTCTCACGTACTCTCGGTGGTTTTCTGTTTCTTTTTCTTTCTTTATTTATTATATTATTTTTGTCGGTTTATTTGAAGGTTATGTTGAGAATTGAGTGCTACAATATTCAAAGAAGCAACGTCTCTTTATGTGAACTAGTATTTATGAACGTGCGTTGCACGTTAATAATAGTACATGATGATTTAAATATTTATTTATATAAAGAAACAATAAAATTTAATTAAAGAGATAAATTTTAAGTATAATAATACAACAATCATCTAAATGCCGAAAAATATTATCACATTAGCATAATACATGAATTTAAAATAAAAGGACATTGTCAAAACTTACACAAATGATCAATATTGTCATGTTAGTTAGATAATTATGTATTATAGTTTAAAAGTATTTAATATGATGGTATCTTAACGAACACTTTTTTGTGGATAATATTTTTTGTGTATGTTTCCTCCTAATGCTCTGGTTGCTTTTAAATATTTAAATTTAAATTTTAAAATACTGAATTGAACTAATCAAATTTAACTTCAAATATTAGTCAAACTGACTCTTAATAGTGTGGAGTATAAATTAAATTAAATACGAGGGAGTAATTAGTACTTACTACTTAGCAGTTTTCAGGACGTCTCTAATCAATCACTATTATGCAATCACGTTTTCTAAGATTACTTGTTGTGCACATTGATGCATGGTAGGGGTTGGGAACAGTGTGTCACGGCCCAATTCTCCATACGTAAGACGTTGTGACGGTACCTAATCTCTAGGTAAGCCTAACACAATGCGAAAATAATAAAATGAAAGTAAAATTTAATAACTAAATGCAACAAATAACTAAATAACTGGTAACAATGCCGCTCGGCATGTACAATAACTAACACTCTAGTAATACACAGTATTTCCAAAATTCGAAACATCATAAGTCACAAGTTACAGAAGAAAACTAGCATCTCTATACACCATAGTCTAATAAAAGAAGTACAGAAGGTAATTGACCTAGGGGAGAATAGAGGGGGACTCCGAGGTCTGCGGACGCGGCAGATATACCTTGAAGTCTCCAAACTGTCACTATTCACTGATGACGTGGCTGATAAGCAGCACCTGGATCTGCACACAAAACATGTGCAGAAGAGTAGCATGAGTACACTACAACGATACCCAATAAGTACCAAGCCTAACCTTGGTCGGGTAGTGACGAGGTCAGGTCAGACCCACTGATATATAATAATAAGACAGATGATATAATAAAATGAAGTAAAACGGAGAAGTTAACAGAAAGTACTCACAAAGCAATAACAACACAACACAATGAGATAACAACAAGGGCGCTCCCGAGATACCGTCTCGTAGTCTCAAAAGTAAATACTCAACGGGGAATCTCCCGAGATACCGTCTCGTAGTCCCAAAAGTAAATATGCGAGTAGATCTCCCGAGGTACCGCCTCGTAGTCTCAAAAGTAAATGTGCAGGAGAACTCCCGAGGTACCGCCTCGTAGTCTCAAAAGTAAATGTGCAGGGAGAACTCCCGAGGTACCGCCTCGTAGTTTCAAAAGTAAACACACAGCTCAAACTGATAAATACAACAGTTAACAGCAAGAATCCTACAGTTAAGACCGATAAAAATCAAGGAGAAACAAGAAATCAACTAGGCATGCTGCACAGAGTTCAAATAAGCAGTTAAAGCACGTAGACATGCGATATTAGACTAAGCAGGATAACTACACATGCTGGTATAACTAAATTAAGATGAAATCAGGTTACTATTCAGTAAAAATCGGGGTTTACAAAAAATAGCCCGTGTACGCACTCGCCACCTCACGTACATGGCGCTCACATATCACAACAGTACCAAATCCTTAGGGGATTCCTCCCCCCCACCAAATGGCCCAAACTAGCCAAAAATAATTACATATCATAAATACAACAATAATAGACTAATCTAATTAATGAAATCAAGACTTTAACAAGAATTTCAAAAATCGTCCTAAAAAGTCTACCCGGGCCCACGTCTCAGAATCGGGTAAAAGTCACAAAATATGAACACCCATTCACTCACGAGTTCACTCGTACCAAAATTATCCCAAACCGATAGCAAAATCCCAATCAAAACTCAAAAACTTAGTTGAAGAACTTCTCCCATTTTCTCCAAATTTCTCAACCAAATTCCTAAATTAAATGATGAAATCAACTATAGATTAATAGAATATAACCATAAATGAGTGAAGAATCATTACCCAATAGCTTCCTATGAAAATCCCTCAAATTATCGCCTAAATCTGAGCTCTCAAAGCCCCAAAGTGAAAATAAGATCAAACCCTCGTAATTTCCCTTTTTGTGCCTAGTGATCTCGCACCTTCGAACCCATAGTCGCACCTGCAACGCCGCGCCTGTGAAAAATTCACCGCAGGTGCGGACTTGACTTACACACCCGGGTTCGCTTCTACGATCAAATGGCCGCACCTGCCAGTACGCGCCTGCGAACAAATGTCCGCTTCTGCGGACTCCCCTTCCAGCTCACTCTCCGTATCTGCGGAACATCAAGCGCATCTGCAGGCTCGCAG